GTCCCTGAGTGCCCACAGGGGATACCAGCTCCATGGATTCTCAATCCCTTATAAAACGACACAGCATTTGCACATAAGCTACACACCTCCTCCCACATACTTGAGGCCACCCCTGGATTACTTATGATACCTAATATGATGCAAAGGCTATGCAAATCGTCATTGTACTGCATTTTTAGGGACTAATGACCACTTTAAGTCTGTCCACCTTCAGAAAAGAAGCAACTTTTTTCAAATATTTGGATCTGTGGTTCGTTGAATCTGCAGAAGCAAAACCCACAGATAATGAGAAGCAGCTGTAGCATTAAAGTCTCTCCTTCCGAGGTGCTGAAGCTGATAGAGTTAGAGGCTGGCCCGCCCGGGGTCACACTTGCTGGGCATCGGCAGCAGCGGAGAACGACCTCATGTCTACCCTGTGCATCTCCGTATCTGCCCAGAGCCTAGGCCATGCCAAGCTGGCACCCTCCTCACAGCAGGGGAGCCAGAGTGGGCCCCACAGGGGGCAGAAGCCTCCATGCAGGGTAAGAAGTCAGAGGGAGAAGGGTGCTGCCTAGTGGGGGTCTGGCGTGGGCATCTTGGGGGGCACCTTCCTGCCCCCAGCTGGAGCCCCTGCAAGGCCATCAGCACCCTCCACAGATACGGGAAGGCTCATTTTCTGGCTGAGTCAGGGTTCACTAAAGGCCACAGTGGCCCCCACGGGCGATGGAGGAAGTCGGCTGTTCCCCTCTCTGCAGGGGAAAGGCCAGGCAACACAGGGGACGCAGAAGCCCCAGCTGTCACAGGAGAGGCCAGGGGCCATTCCCGCCTTCCTGAGCCAGGTTCCAGGAGTGGGGTCCACAGGTCCTGCTTCCCAGCTTCATCCTTGCCAAGGTGTCACTGAGTATCCTGCACTGAGCCCAGTCCTGGCAAGGTTCCGGGAGCACAATCACTTATTCACTTAACTACCAGTTCCCCAGTGCCTGCTGGGCCAGGAATCCAGGACACAGAGTGGACAGGGAAGTCCCTGCCCAGGAGGGTTCCCGGAAGCACTCTGTCAGCCACAGAACAACAGCATCAAAGGGGAAGGTGACGTTCAGACCCACTTCCCCTCACTACTCAGCTTAGAGCCATGCTGACGAAAGCTGGCCATGCGGGAAGAGCAGGCAGCGTCACACGGCTGGAAGTGACCAGGGTCCTGGGGATGCACTTGTGTACGCTGGAGGGGCAGAAGGGCCTGGACACCAAGGACCCGAAGCGGCAGTCTCGTCCCAGAGGGGAACATCACCTCTCATTATCTGAGCATTTCCTGTGAGCCAGGAACAAGACTGCTAAGAGTCGCACGTGTACTTTTTTTACTGCACCCTCAGGACATGCCGTGAGGTCATTACCATTTTCATCCTCAACTTAGAGATCTGGAAACTGAGGCTCAGAAAGGGTCACATAAGCTGGGGGTAGTGGTGCACATGTGTAATCCCAGCACTCAGGAGGCTGACGCAGGAAAGTCACCGTGAGTTCAAGGCCAGCCTGGGCTACATAGTGAATTCAAAGCCAGCCTGAACTACATAGCAAGTCACTGTGTTCAAACAAACAAACAAACAAAAGAAAAGAAAAGAAAAGTTCACAGAGCTCGGAATAGGCAGAGCCAAGATTCTAGCTCCCAAGTGCGGTACTGGGCTGCCACACTAGCTGGTCCCCCAAAGACGGTGCCTCAGGAGGGGGCGAGGCAGGAGGAGGAGGGGCAGGATGAGTACTGCTCATCTGAGGGGAGCTGCCAGCCCGCTGTGTGAAGACAGCCTCACCCGTGCCCTATCTCACGCAGGACAGATCCTGGTCCTGGAGCCCCCCGAAAGCCACGTGAAGAATGGGGCATTGGCAGGGTTAGGGCAGGGCAGCCCAGTGAGGAGAAAGGACTCTTCTGCATCACCCAGTGTACACACAGCAGAGCTGGAACCGACTCCAAGAACCAGAACACAGGCCCCTTTGGCCCTCAGTTGCTTCTCTGTCAGCTCGGAGTGAATCAGCTGCTGACAGGAAGCCACCAGGGTGGGAGAACCCTGGCTGGGGGGGGGGGGGCTCAGGAGCAAGCTGCTCAAGGGATACCAGCTGGGCCCTCAGTGCGGGCGGGTGCTGGCTTTGCAGGCAGCATCAGGGGCCATGGCAAAGGGGAAGCACCGCACCCCACAGCACGGGCCCCTGTTCACCTCTGGGCTTCCCTCCAGCCCTCAGACCCAGCCTGCAGGAGGTGAAGCGGGTGGGCAGGCCTGTTCCTGCTGAGATCAGTCTCCCTCCTGCCTGCCTCTGGAGCCAGCTCAGGGTTGTCTGCTGTTCCCGAGCTTCCCATGGGGTGAAGGAAGTGGGTAAAATGGTTCGGTGCAGGAACGGAGCCTAAGCACCAGGTGGCCCCAGGGCTCCAAAGCAGAATCACCCACAGGGCTTGGGACTGCTTGGCTGTGCGCCAGGAGGGGCTCTCCAGTCTTCCAGGCTCAGGGTTGGGTCCCCATGGTGGAGGGGGACAGCCAGCAGCAGCTTCCTCCTCTAAGGGCTGAGCCCCACAGAGAGAGCAGAACAACAGAGGAACCTGAGGGAACCAAGGCCCGCCTGGTGAGACACGTGTGCCATGCTGGGTGCCTGATCAAGGCCAGGCCAGCCCTGCTTGGCTGGGACACTCCTCCCTCGGAGCTTCCTCTTCACCCAGCCGTGCAGACCCCTGCTGCCATCACCACAGCCATCGGCTCTCTAGCCCTGGACCGCTCGATCCCCACCCCAGCATACCTGGCACAGAGGGCCAGTCCCTGCTCCAAAACCTTCCATGACTCCTTGTTCTGCAACTCAAACGCAAACGTCTCGCCTTGGCGTTCGAGGTCCTGCCAAGCTGCTCCTACCCACCCACCATTCTCACTTTGCCCGCCCCGCAGTCCCAGACTTCACCTGGACTGGTCACCCAGCAGCTTCCTGAAGCCCCGGGACAGGCGAGCTCCTTCCCTCTGCAGAGTCATCTTCCTCTGCCGGAGGCGCAGTCTCCCCTCGGGCTGCCCAAAGTCTCCAGTCCTCAAGGCCCTGAAGACCCCTCAGCCCTCCCATCTCTTATCTGTGTGAGAGCCCTGGTGTCCTGTCGGATTAGTCCCCAGATGGAAAGCAGCCCGAGGGTGCAGCCCCACTGTCCTTCATCACAGAGGCAGGGCCGGTGAAGGGGGGGCTCCCATTAGCTGTTAATGGGCACGGTTGGCAGCGCACCCCACACACGGCACCACCTACTGAGCTCTCTCCCTCCCACTACACCAATCCTCATCTAGCGGCCCTGAAACCCTTGGACAGGCACCCGGCACCCACATCAATCCAAGCCCAGCCAGGACTGGGGAGCTCAGGCAGGCCGCTCAGGTCTCACCCCTCATGCCGGTCTTGCTTTCTCAAGTGTCTCACTGCCTCCCCTGCCCTACATCCACACGCACCCGTCTCTGTCAAGTGGCGCAGCCTTCGGTGGGTCTGTCCCACGGTCTTGCTGGGCTGGCACCAGGATGCGGCAGGGCATACTCCCCCGATCATGCAGGGGACAAACAGTACCTGTGTCCCTTGTGCCCAGCCCTGCTCAGATGGGCACCAGGCGCCCATGCTGCCCCTCACCTTTACCCCCAGCCAAGCATTCAGTGGAGTCCCTGGAGTCGGCCCCTGGGCAGTTCAGACCCATGAGAGCCCATCTGGCTCAGAGCCCTGCATGCGAGGGAGCTTCCCCAGCAGGGACACAGTGGGGACAGGGGAGCCCTCGCTGTAAGCATCTCAGGACAAGGGGAGAGGCAGTCTAGCTGGCTCACCTCTGTGCCCCCCGCTCTGTCTCGTGCCTAGCAGGTGTTCAGTAAATGGGTTTTGGTTTATTTTGTTGAAAACCCACCAACTTCAAACATTACACAAAACTCAGCCAGTCTCTGGTTCAGGTGACACTCCCCCAAACCCAAAGGAACGCAGCGATGTTGGTGGTATCACAAGATGAGGGGGGACTCAGCTTTCAGCCCCCCTCTGCACACACTCCTTCTCCCGCAGGAATTAACACACACATACACACATCCACACACCCCACGGTCCACATCGGAACAGCTGTTAAGAGGCCTCCCCAGGCGCAGGCAGGCACCTTGCTATGCACTGTGCATGCTTCATATGGCTGGTTGCTATGGTGTCAGGTTGTGTCCTTACTCACAGACCAGGAAACTGAGGTTAGAGGGGGAGGGGTGGGACCCAAGTCAGTTTGGTCCCAAAGCCCAAGCCCCTGACCACAGACCTAGTCTCCCAGCGGCCGTGGTTGGGGACAAGGCAGCCACTACCAACAGGGACGGACTCTTTGGCCTCCAGAGAGAACCCTGGGGCTGTCACAGGAGGCCCGGCCCGGACTTGACTCAGGGCCCAAGTTCCGTGAGAGTTTCCCTTTCCTCCCTCTTGCCCCACAAGAACTGCTCCTTCCTGCCCCCCACCCCCCGCAGCCCCTCAGCAGCTAGCTGGAAAAGCCCCGCTGAATTTCCACTGGAAGTCCCAGGACCCCCTGGGGAGGACAGCATGGAAGCTCCCTGCCTTGGGATCCTCTCCCTAGGGCTCATGGGGTCGAGTTCCCTCGAGGAACCAGTGTGATCTCTGAAGCAGTACCTTTGCTGAAGCCCCTTCTGCTCGGAGAGGAGATGTAGTGGAGCAGTGCAAATGACCTGGTGGCAGCGGTGGCTCAGCTGCGTGCCTCGGCTGCCAGCGATCACCTCTGGGCTCTCGGGTGCGCACCTAGCCCCACTTCCTCCTCCAGGAACCCGGGAGGCCCAGGGCCGGGCCGGGAGCGGGCCCGGCCCGGAGCCATGCAGCTGGTGCGTGGCGGGGAGGGAGAACCAGGGGCATCAGGACTCCGAGCCGATGCTCGGTCCCACCCACCAGCTGTCCTCATCTGTCACTTGTTGCAAGAAAGAAAGCGGCCGAGCGCGCTGCGGAAGTGGAGGCGAAAACTAACTTTGTTTGTGGAGCTCCCGCCGAGCTCTCCGGGACCCCTTTCTCACCTGCTGGCTCTGCTTTTTGCTCCGCGCTGCAAGCAAATTCGGCGTGGCGTAGCCGGTTCGCGCCCCGGACCAACTGCGCAGCCCTCGCTCCGGTCACTCCGCGGTCTCGGTCTCGGAGGCCGTCGGGGAACTCAACGGCTAGGGCCGGGGGCCGCTGGCCGGGCCCGCCCACCGAAGGGCCCGCCCCAGACTCTCCCCGCTCCCTATTGGAGGCAGCGTCGCTCCAACAATACCAGCCCCGCCCCCAGGGAGCCCAGCCCCGGTCACGCCCCCTCTGAGGCCCCGCCCTTCTATGGCCCTGTCCTCTACCGGGAGCCCGCCCTGTACTCTGCCCTGCATCGCGTGTCCCCCCACCACCACGCACGGCCCTAATAACGGTCCCGCCCCCACAGGCCTCCCTTTCCCTTCCCAGGCCGCTCCCAGGCCTCCGGGGCCCTGGCATCGTCCCCGCCTCCTGCCCTCTCTGCTGAAGTGACTCCTGCTCCCCATCCTGGCACCCTGATCTTGTGGGGCCCTGGCAGCCCCAGCTCAGGGCAGCAGGCCAGGGCCCCACGCCGCATTCCCGGGCTGGCGCATCCGGGTGCAGCCAGGAACGGCGTGGGAGCGGGTTGAGTTTCAAGTCCGGGACTGGATCAGGAGACAGCCTGGTGCTTTCCGCAAATACTAACAGCTACCATGCATTGACCCGGGCCAGGCTCCGGGCCAAGGCTGTGAAAGTACTGACCCCGGAGTTTCCACCCTCCTGGGACACTCATGTGGCCCCTATTTTATTGATGCGGCAACCCAAGGCTCAGAGTGGCAGCTGTCGTGGGCTGGGAGTCCCACGCTGGAGGTGGGGTGACAGCATCCAGCCCAAGCCCTGAATCACAGGCTTGGTGCTGCCCGGCCTGCCCGGGCTGGCCCCTGGACAAGTGGCCCGGGGCCAGAGCGATGGCGGAGCTGCCTGAGGCAGGGAGGCGGGCTCCAGCTAGCTCTGTCCCATGACCAGAAGTGGGCCAGAGCTAGGTGGGCTGCAGGAGACCCCCATGACTGTGCCCCACTGGGGACCAGCCTGGGGCAGGGTAGCTGGTGGCTGACCAGGGCCGAAGCCTGCACGGCCGCTGACGAAGCTCTTTCACCCCACTGTCTTACTGGCATCCCACAGACAGCCTGTGGGCAGGGTTGTGACCTAGCCTGCTTCTCATGGGTGCAGTAGGGCAGGAAGTCAGATTCCACCCTGCACAGCGGCTCTCGGAGCCTGGGTCCCAGTCATCTTCATTTATCTGGGAACTTGCTGGGCTGTGTGCTTCTCTGAATCCCAGACCTACCCAGTGAGAAACTGATGCTGGCAGTGAAACCCAGGGCCCTCAAACTAAGCTACATCCTGAGCCCTTTTTCCTTTTGAGACAGGGTCTCCTAAGAAGCCAGGTTGCCTAGGCTGGGCTAGAACTTGTGATCCTCCATACTGGAGTTTGACAGTCAGTGGTGAAGAAACGAGGGAAGTGTGAGAGTCACCCAGACCCAGGTAGCCTCCTGGTGGCCTTCCAGGGGTACTTAACCTCTCTGGAATGAGCTCTTTCAAGGGGAATAGGGGAACATCATTGTGGTGGCTGTCGGGGTTGAAAAGTGATGGTGCTCATGAAGTCTGGCACGCTGTTCGGACACTGCATGCTCAAGGAATGTTTTCTTTCCAGTAAAAAGTCTGCCAAGTCATGGAAGTGGGGCTGAGGAATCCTTTACACCCAGGAATGTCCTACTGGGTTGTCCTTCCCATGGAGGGGCAGCATCTGTCCCACAAGGACCAAGGTCCTAGCAAGCTCACCTAGGAAGCAGACTCTGCTTCTGGCCCAGGGACCACACTTGAGAACCACTGTGACCTCTGTCTGGGGCTGAGTTCCAGCAGCTCTCACCTCCCCGCCCTGCAGAAAGGTCATGAAATAGCCTCTCTCACCCTGCCCCAAGTCTCCACCGCCAAGCTGGGGGTGTTAGCTATGGGGACTTGCAGTGTGCAAAAAGCTGGAACCCATCTGCGCCCATTCCCTTACATGGGTTGCATCTGCTACCCCTTCCTGTCTCTGCCACTCCAGATTAGAGACGGAGACAGCCATGGGAACGGCAGGCCAGCCTGCAGGCAGCTTCCAGAATCTCTGCCACACCCCACCCTGGTGCCCCAAGGGGCTCCTGGCCCGGGGCACTGTCATGTTCTGCAGCCTGGAAAGTCCAAGTTGGGAATGCAAACCGAGCCCTTCATCCTCTATGTCTGTACGTGTATCATCCTGGAAAACAAAATGTTACTCTCCTCCCTTGGCAGATGCTCTTTATAAACACCGAGAAGACCTTGTTCGATTTGAGAATCCCTGGACTCTGGAATTCTGTACCGGACCATGGCAGTGTGGGAGGGTCAGCCCAGCCGGCCTTCAGCTCCCCACCCTGCTTCTCATCTTGTATGGCTCTCCACCCCGTGTCACAGTGGCCTAGGACTCAACACGCCATCTACACACTCTCTTGCCTGGGTCTGTAGGTGGCACTGCACTCCCATTTGGCCTTGTGTCCCCAGCACCTGTCACCATGCTGGAACCTCGAGGGACAGCTGTGGAGTAGATGCCTCCCTGAGTCAGCACTGGACTCACTGCGTGGCTCTCCCCGTTCTGTCCCCACGCCGTCCCCCGCCCGCCCTCCAGTGGAAGCCAGCTTTCTCACAGCATACCGCGGGCATCTTGCTGGGTAGAGAGCAGAGGCTTCTAGTGAGAGACTGCATCTATTTTGGAATTAAGTCTTCAGCTTCTGGCAGAGTGGAAGCCAAGGGTCCCAGAGAGGGGAGGAGGTGGGAAGACCCACTCTAAGAAGCCCTGACAGGCGTTATCACAAGGCCAGCATGGAGGTGGTGGGATGATGACACTCCAAGGGGGTACAGCCATGGGGTTCCCAGGCTCCTACATGATCCCCCCCCCCCAAGGAGCAGCAGAGCAGGAGTTCTGCAGGCCCCTGTTGACAGTGGCTGGTTCTTGTTGGTGTCTGGACCTAGCAAAGGCCCCAAGACGTTTGTGTAACTCTTGGATGGTAGAAGATGGGTGGGATATGTGTTTCCTGTTGCTATTGCATTTGTCTGCTTTACATTGCTATAACAGAATCCCCAGGGTAAGTAACTTTATAAAGAAAAGAGGTTTGCTTCGGGTCCTGGTTCTGAAGGTCCAAGGTTGAGGCTCACAGCTAATGCTACTTTTTGGCAGGATCTCAAGGTCACACAGGACATCATGTGGCAAGTGATGGGGGATGTGCACTTGTGTCTCTCTTCCACCTTATAGCAGCTTTTGTTTGGTTTTGTTTGTTTGTTTCTCATGTAGTGCAGCTATGTCGTCCAGGCTGGCCTCGAACTCACTGTGTAGTCCAGGCTGGCCTCAAACTTGCAGCGATCCTCCTGCCTCAGCCTCCTGTGTGCCAGGATCTCAGGTGTATGCCACCATGCCCAGCTTCTCACTCTTCTTATAAAGCCACCGGGATTGCATCGTGAGGCTCCACTCTCCTGGGTTTATTCTAACCCCTCCCGAAGCCCTGCCTCTAAGAACCACAGTCAGGTTCAGTTTGCACCCTCTTAATACATCAGAGCAGGGATTAGATTTTACTGAAAGAACACCTGGTTGGGGGGCTGTTTGCACTCAAGCCATATCCCAAACAGGCAGTGTGGCGCTGCCTTACTTCTCCCATGAGTGTGTGGTTTTGGTGGTCTCAGCACTGCAATGGGGGCTCATCTGCACTTTGGGCGTTGGCAGCTGGCTCTCGGGGATGGTGTCAGGAGCACTTCTACGTCATTTTGGGGAAAAATCATTTCACAATTACATTATGATTAGGTCTAGTTTTCCTGACCACAGACTGGTTACGGCATGTCCAGACAAAACTCCATTTTTGCCTTCCGTCACAGCTAAGACCTCAATGGTCCCATGATGCCGTGACGCTCCAGGGCAGGATTACACCAGCTGAAGATATTCTGGTTCCTTGAGAACCGAGTAGTAAGAGAACAGTTTCACCTGGGATGGACAAATTCCTAATCAATGTAAGTTCCTCCTTGACCTAGGATCTCCATCTGCACAAGTTCCTTATTTTTCTAGGATTATCGCTGCTGCCCTCTGAGTCATCTGTTACTTCCAATGCACCGAATAAAGGTGTGGCAAGCTCCATTGCCGTCTCTTTGCTGCCCAGAGCAGCACTGATCAGGCCCAAAGCTCAGCATCTTCTCTGTCTCCTTTTCTGACTTAATTAATTTGCCTTGTACTGTCATGGCTCACAGGAGACCAGGACTCCCTGCAGGGGCTCTGGTAATGCCCCCTTTCCATTCCCTACAGGACAGGTGTCCCTCCTGGAGCCAGTGACCTCGTGTGGGTAGCCAGCTGTGGACCCCGAGCTCAGCCAGTGCTGGGGACCATGGGGCTCCTGTCCTAGCAGGGCTGCCGGGTTTGGGCCCCACACATCATCCTGTGACCCAGTGTGGAGGTCGGGCAGCATCATTCCTTCACAAGGGATGAGCCTCCGAGGGCACCCCATCTCCATCACGCTGCAGGTTCCAGAAAACCTGGGAATCTCTGCCCAGCTGTTCCACAGCCAGGCTCAGGGCTGATGGCCTCCCCTGGACCCAGCCTTCCAAGGATGCACCTGTCCCCACTGTGCCCCGCTGCAAGGTGACCAAGCCTGTCACCAGACGGGATTCTCAGGGCGCCCAGGGCTCCAGATCAGTGTGTGGCCCAGGAGACAATGCTGGCGGCTTTGGAAGCTAGGGTCTGCAAAGCCACTGGAGGATTCCTCTGGTGGGACTGGGGAGTCTGAATTTAAGTGGCTTTAAAGCAAAAAAAAAGGACTGAGATGCATGATGGATGTTGGGCAATGGGAAGAAAGTGTTCAAATGGGAAGGGGAACAGGGAGGCGGGAGGGAGAAAGGAAGGGAGCGACAAGAGAAGTGAAAATAGAAGGAAAAATGGAAACAAAGCTTCTGCACATAGGGAGGGGAGGGGGCCTGAGGGGGAAATGGGATAACATAAAGTTTTAAAGAAATTTACAAAAAGAGAAGACAAAAAATAAAGCGAAAAAGATATTTCTTCAATTCTGAGAACAGAATTTGCACCTCCTTTCCATCCATTGGCTGTATTTCTTTTTTCTTTTATTTATTTGCTTTTTGGAGACAGGGTCCCACTATGTGGTCCAGGCCATCCTTGAAC